TGATACTTCCGATTAAAGACTTCACTTCCGGTCTCACATGATAGCTTTATTCACACTGATCGTAAAAATATAAAATTTCTACATATTTTTAACTGAAATAAGAGAGATAATTTGTAACTTCCGATTCACAGAAGTCACTTCCAGTTTCAATTGATAAGTTTATCTATGCTAATTAAAAAGATATATGGTTTCAAAGTATTTTCCCATGAAAGAGGTACTTCAAGTTTACCAATGGTCACACTCGGTTGACATTTTAAAGGTCATACGTGTCACAATCTAATGCAATGGTGCAATCAACAGTTTTTTCTATGACGTCATATGTTGAAGGACTATGAATAAGTGACGCTAAGTGGTGGTATTGTAAGTTAAGATACTTGTATAAAACTATATATAACTGGAATCAGAATTTTCTCTTGTTTAAAATGAAATAAAAATAAAGTGTAATATGAACATAGTAAAAAAGTTCTATTCAGAAAAAACCTGAAATCAGGTCATTTGCATACCCATGTAGGCATGATACAGGCACATTTAAGATAATCAAAACTGTATGAATTTCATAGATTTTTACCTGGTCTGATAAAAAATTCTCGCTTCATGGTACGTTCGCACGTTTTGGAAAGGGCGACAGTAGCTACACATAAGGTGTCAATTTTCACTACCAAAAACAGGAAGTTTACAGTGTTGCCTTCCTTAGAACATGAATATTTTATCTAACTAAACTTTTAAAATTATTTTAATCATCCAACCTGTTTAAATTAAAAGCTAATAAACTTATTATAACAATCAAATACAAAAAACATGATACTTTTTATGTAGATAAAAAGGGATTTTCCTCCATTGATATTTTTAGTCGGGGAATAACCCCACGATTTGTATACGAAACTGTTTATAGCACCCAATAGACACTATGGCTTTATCATGTACCAGTATGAAGTTATAACAAAGCTCAAAATCTAGAACGTCAAATTCACATTTGACTTTGATATCTATTCCAAGGTCATTATGGATGGATTTAAAAGCAATATACCATAGGTCTCTACTTTGTATGGTTTAAGAACCACACAACTTATGTTTCTAGGGAGGAAAAAATCTTTTCAAAGACACTTCATTTCGACCAATTTTTTTTCATTTATGGCATCTTGCAACTAACATTTTTTTAATAGTTCTTTTGTAATTATTTATTATGGTTTCGTAGGAAAAACAATCAAAAATCTGAATTTAGAACTTAAACTTGACCTTTGACCCTGATCTGACTTTCCTTTTGTTGACCCAAGGACCTCAAATTACAATACCTTATGTCTCTATCACTTACTATTCATGCGATACATTAATATATCACTTATGTCAAATACAGAAGGGGAAATAACTCTCATCTGGAGTCTTCGTTTCGCTTCAGTCAAGATTAGACAAAACATCCTAAGGATATTAAGAGGAATTTGAAAAAATAAATTCGTCGATTTCTTTTACATTTTCGGAGGAGATGCACTCACAAGTAAAACAGAGTTCGGGGAGAATACTCTTACAAAGAAAGTATTCGTTAAAGCATGGTCAATTTCATAGGCACATAAACTGTGCAATATCATATACCAAACATCTAGGCGACATGTTGCGAAACAAAAATTACACACATGAAATAAAAGTGGCGGAAGGAGAATAAAATAAAATATAAGAACATAAAGTTTCTAAATATTTGATAGAAGCCACTTCCGGTTGACTGAAAGCTAATATTGGCGTCCAATGATATGTTTGCTCTTTCTGATTCAAAAACATTATATGGTTTCTCTATACAGTTATCTAAAATAAGGGTATAATTTGCTACATTCGGTTTAGAAAATGTCACTTCCTGTGTCGTTTGATAGCTGTTTTTACACTGATTCGAAAAATATAAGGTTTATATATTCTTCTGCGTGTAATAAGGGAGTGAATTTGCTACTTCCGTATTCAAGAAGGTCACTCCTGGTCTCATATGATAGCTGTTTTACACTGATTCAAAAAATATAAGGTTTCTATACTTTTGCCTAACATTTTCAACGTCATATGCCACCCAACATTTTGCAAAAAACTCTATTGCTTTATCATGAAGTAATAATCAAAATTAACCTTGAATTAAGACATTTAAGGGACCATTATTCCTGTAAGATGTCATTAGATTGTTTCAGACCAAACGTATCATATCTTCATCACAATAAAACAAACAATTTGCACTAGTTCTTTTATATCTATCTTTACAAGTGTCAAAGTAGATGTAGGAACAAGCAAAAGTCAAAATTAAGAACATGACCTAGTCTTTGACCTCTATCTCATTTTGTAAGTTAAGACCCATGGACCTCAAATATAGAGATCCTAGATCTATACGGTTACAGTTTATAAGTTACAAAGATATACCTCATATCAGATGTCAGTGAATTTGCTTCGGTCCAAATAAGTCGAAAATTTCTGAGGATGTAACGAACAATTAAGAAAACAGTATTTTGCCTATATCTGTAGTGTTTGATAAGAAAGACAAAAATAATCACTTAAGCTATGAAAAAAAACAGTGAAATATTAGTTTTCTAAGTATTTTCACTTGAAATAGTTAGCTTCTTCTGGTCTAGAAAGTTTCAATTCTGAGGTCATATGAAAGAGTTTTTCATACTGATTTGATAAATACTATGTTGTTAGGGACTTCTCTGTAAAATAAGGGAGATAATATGTCACTTCCGGTTTAAAAAAACTCACTATCGATGTCATTTTATATCTCATTATACACTGATTTCAATAATAAATGGTTTTTTCTATATTTTAGCCTTTAAAAAAGGAGATATATAACTACTTTCGGTTTAGTAAATGTCACTTCCGGTCTCAAATAGTAAAAGCATTGTTTCGTGGTCATTATCGATTTTTCCTTATGAAACACAATATGTCGACTTCGACTTTTGAAAATAACTTCACGAAATATCTAAATGAACCGTTAAACAGAAGTCGACTGTAGTTTTTTTTCACAGACACTCTTTTTATTCTTTTAATTTAATTTTTTATTTAAATTAAATTTTCTTAAATACTTCGAATTATTTCTAGTTGTCAAATGTGTTCATGCTCCTATTCATACGATTTCACAGTGAGAGTTGAAAATAAGAATAGAGTGTCAACAGGTATAGACTACTGTAATTGTATGATCGTATGAATATGAATAAGAAAGCATCAATCAATTGAAAATAGTAGAACTTAGAATGAATAATAATAAAAGGAATTATTCATATCTAAATTTGAGACATTGTATATATAAATAATGGTGTTAGCCCTGTATAACCACATGTTATCCGATGGAGAACGTCTGTCGTAAATATATCACAAATTAAGACGTATATATTAAAATCAAAATTTGATAAAATTTGATGTTACGGCATGGTAAGCTATATTATCATCCTTTATGACAAAAAGACAGCTGATCTGCAAGATATACCATCTACTGGTCACTATACATCATGTACTGTGTTACAACCTTAGATAAAGCCGACGAGGAAAGGCATTTTTCGACTAACGAAAGTTATATTTTATAGCCTTTTGGTGATCAGTCTAGGGCAAGGAGCACAGTTCAGGCGGTGTTGACACGAAGTCTCAGATGCAGGGGTTCGAATCACACCCGCTGAGGTCAGGAAAAAAATTGCTAATGCAAATTTGCAGATCTAAAATTTTGGGGCTAAATTTGAGACGAAGTATATATAAATTAAGTTGGTAGCCCTGTATAACCATATTTTATCTGATTGAAAATGTCTTTGACATATTTAGACGTATATACATATAAGTCTAAAGATTTGCGCAACAGTACTAATATAAGATGGTAAATACGAACATGATGTTATAAAATCGTGTTGACAAATATTTCGACTGAACAAATTGCCTTCTTCAGTGTCAATAATTTAATAATACTTGTTGTTCATGTTAAAAAGCTCAGTAATACAGGTAAGTTTTGGAATATTGATTTAATCCAAAATCTTGAACCTCATCAAAGAAATTAAAACCCAATGCTCAATAGACGTGGCTACGTATCTATACATCCCAAATTGGCAAAATGCAGAAGTTTGTATAAATGTATATGAGATAAAAGAAGAGTCCCTCTATCCAACTGCTAGTACTTCCTGTTGCTGCTGTTTGGTTGAAGTACATTTATCTCCTTAATCAGTCCAGTGAATGTTCTGTTCAAGCACTAGGATTTTTATGCGGTTAAAGTCATCTGGTTTATGATCCGACTGTCTGAAATGCTGGCTAAATGGGAGGAGTGGCTTCTTAGATATGTCACTTATATGGCAATTGAGGCGTTTGTGGAAAGGCTGTTTTGACTTACCAACATATTGGTGGTCTCAAACCAAACATTCTAGAATGTAAATGACAGTCATACCTCTCCACCTACTCAATGCCTGGACAAAATGCTCACGCTGTTATTGAAGAACTACTTCACCTTTGATGGAGATCATCTACAAATTAATGAAACTGCAATGGGTACAAAAATGGCTGCATGCGCCTGTTGAAGCTAGTTTGTCTATATACAATATATGAGTTTCTTTGTGTGTTAAATGAACTCTCATACATGTTACATTTTAAGGGTTTACTTAACATGTGATCTTGCACTTCATAAAAAAAAATCAATAGTATGCATACGTGGCTGCTTGCTAAAACATTCCAAGATGTGAAAAAGTAATAAGTTAAGTTCATATAACTGATGAGCACTTGTATATATAAAAGTCTAGATATGTTCAATAATATTATACTGATAAAAGATTAAAAAATATATATACAACACAAGATGTAATGAAATTGTATTGACAGCTTTCAATTCTTTATCAAAATCTAATAGAATAATTTGATGTATTTGTATGTTTATAGAGCTCACCTGTGATTTCTACAAGACTCTTAGCTATATATATATATATGACATCTATACGGTTTTTGGGTCTAAATAATTAGTCCGGGATTTTCCTTTGTTTTAAAATTGTATAGGAAAATACACTTTGTACTTCTAGATATCCGGGTAAGCAGACGGTTTTTCAACTGGTAACGAAACACAGAATTTTCTTCATTGAGGTATAGTTTTTTTTTGTTGTTCTGATTATGAACTTAATATTTCTCTTTTTGAATTCATACTTTATTGTAGATTTATCATCATATTTAGACAGAGTATGCATAACAATTCTAGACAGAATGTTACTTTTCCACATGTCAATATTTATTGAATTCATGTAGAAGTGTTGATCCAACAATTTGAGTGAACAGCAAAATAATGATCCTTGATGGTTTTGCATTCATATGGAAGGTAAATCCCAAATAATCGAAGTTTTAAAGTAATATATCCTCATTTAATGCGTCTAATATCGTCATTCTCATAAACCAAAATCCATGGTATAAAGATATTATAAACATTAATAATGTAACAAATAGTCAGAATTATTACGAATGTATGATCTACAATGGTTTAAAAAGAGATTCAAGCTTATATAAAAAAAAATGTATTCATACAATATTATATTAATGCTATTAAACACTGTTACCCCTAAGAGTCCAGCCGTTTGTTAAACAGTCTGATAAATTTGCACAAACTGTTCAGTATACTGATGTTTCAATTATTCATTAGATCATGAAATTTCAGTATGTTTGCAATTAGTCTATTTCGATAATAAGGTTTTAAAATTTAAATTCTTTCGTCATTAAATTGCCAACAAAGTTTAAAAATGATTTATCACCAATATCTCCTAAATTACAAAGTTTGTTATATCGATTTTCCCTTGAAACATTATTCAACCTCCCAGATTCGAAAAGGAGTTTATGGCTGAGGGTCATGAATCTACAAAAAGTTATGATGTTTTTATCATCTAGGATTTTGAAATAGTTTTCCCTTTCAGCATTTTATTATCATCGACGGTAATTAATGGCTTTTGGTGATTCTGATAAGATTGAGTGCCAATTTTGTTTGAATTGGTATAAAACACTTACTTTAAAGGGGCATTAGCTTCGAGATTTAAAATTAAAAAAAAAACATGAATTTTTTGGTTCAATCATTAATGAAAGTGAAAAAGTGAAATAATATTTACTTTTAGAAGCCACTTTGGTTAAATTTTGTCAAAATAAGCTAAAAAAAAAACATCGCTGCTGAATTATTCACTTGCATGTGAATAATTCGACATCATTGAATCAGTATTCATGTGACCTTCAATTTAACCCTTAGCTAGAGATGGGTTACGCATGAATTAGGCGTGTTTAGTTATTAAAAGAAAAAGAATATCAACATTGAAAGTGAAACAAGGGTAAACCCAGAGCTCCAGATAAGCTGCGTATTTGCGTGATCACGCAATACAAATAATTAAAAACCCAATGCATTTGCCCATTGCAGGGTTCAATAACCCAATTAATTCAAATGAAAACCCAATAATATGCCAAAACCATGAGTTCTTAACTCTTTTATTCGCTATCGTTTGCGTTATTTACCCTTATCTGATTACAGTCGTCGCGTAAATCTATTTTTATAATATTTATAATTGGAAATGTCCTTTCGTTCTTTTAAAATAGAGCCCTGCATCAAGTAGCTGTAATGGGTCCCTGTTGGACTTTTCCGTTGCTCAAAAGGTACACGTGTTTATGAAAACATTTCGATCTGCTCGGCGTTTATCCAATTAGCGTGTGACATGCTGTCATATTTTTTCGAATTGCTCGGGATTTATCATAACATACAATGAATTAAAACGAAAGTAAATGTCCGATAAAAATATTGAATAGAAGCATGTTTTCGGCTTCTTTTTGATAGCTGAGGGAAAGTTATGATGATAACAAGACTCAGCTAGTGATTTTAGGAAGCGTCCATTGAACGCACGGGCGTGCTTGCGTACCTTAACGAGAACATTGCTATAGAACGATAAACACGGGGTTTCGTCAAAAACGAAATCAGTTGGAAAAAGTGAAAGGCCAAATCAATTATGACATGATATGTAGTTGGAAAGCATCGGAAACCAAAAGTTCTGATAAGGGACAACTTAACCCAGATATATGTAAATTGAATTAAACAAAAACAGTTTATATATTATTTTTTTCACTTAAGTTGATAAATGAATACACATATCCGTTTTTTACGTCAAATTATGCATCTTGACACTTTCTTTGTTTTGGTCTAATTGTTCTGGATGCTTAAGATAGTTGTCTTATTGGCAAGTGCAGTATAACATTGTCATTTATTTACTTGATGTTGCAGAATTATTTGTAAATTTGTAAAATGTGGTCTCCATCATTAAACCACCCTATAAATCTCAAGGTTTTGGGGTATATCTTAAATCTTGGAACTACTTTTTATTTTTATTAAAAAGTATATCTGGCAAATAGGTGAAAGGACTGGCAAAACTTTCTTACAACACCTAAATTTCACATATATTACATAAAAATCTAAACACTTAGCAACACCTACCCCAACTATAAACCGTAGGGTGATCATATGGGATCTAGAAAGGCAATTAGTTACTGTCCAACTAGTGACACCAGCTGCAGTTTACATGTACATAAGTTTTGAGAAAATACAAAACTGACAGAACGTTTAAAACGGGACACAAATTAAACGTACAATTGCTCGTCAGTGAATAAACCAAATAAAACAGCTAAGCACATATACAAAGAAAGAAACACATTTAAGATGGAAACACATCTGGGGTTGATATAATGTGATTATAACATGCCTAAATATTCAATATTGTGTTGATGAAAAAACCCAATACATTAAGGAGCTTGGTGGTGAAAAACCCAAATTGATATTTGCTTGAGGGGTGAATAGGAATTGATAATGCAATTAAAAAACTTTATCACCCAATTACATAAAAAAATGGTGGGTAAAAACCCCAATTTGTGAATTCTTATCTGGAGCTCTGGGTAAACCATTTGATTGACTGATTCGATCTACAAAAATTATACAGGTAAAAACGATGATTAAGATATATTTTTGACTTATAATATGAAATCAAACAGACCTAGAAAAATCTAATTGCACGAGTTCGCTATCTATTCATATCTATATTTATGTTTTTTATCGGAATGTTGATACATATTATCGAGCCCATGCATGGTATATTGTTTATTTTAGACTTTTTATAATTTGGATATACGTTTTAGTATGTTATAAATCAAATATTAGAATTTGAGTCAAATCGGTGAACATGAATTTGACAGCTAGTGCCCCTTTAGCATTGTGATATAACCATTATATTACTGATGCAAGTCTTTACTGCTTTCCTGACAGAAGTTTTGACCATTGCTCAACGCGCTAAAACTTTGCTTTACGCGATAAAACTCCTATTTATCATTTATAACTTTTAAGGCATTAAATCTACATTTGATCCCGTTCACTCTTATTTTTTAAGTTTGCTTTCAACGCGTTTATACGGAAGCGTATATTACCCTCCGTTTAAGTTTATCTTTAACGCGATAAATTTACTTTTAACGCGTTGAAACTAATTTTAACACAATACATTAAAGGTATATGAAACTTCAAATTTAAAAAAAAAGTTGAACATGTTTTATATACTTGAATGGCTAAGTTTTAATCTATAAGAAGTGAGCGTGAAGTTTTTATTATAAGAAAATACTTTATATTATCAAAATCTTCAGAAAGGTACCGATATTGAATTATTGACTTCCTAGACACTAATTCGCCAATATTTTCCCGTATGCAGTGACCTTAACTACGAGACCTCTCGTTATAACTTCGGCCACAGCACAGCGCAAGTGCGAGGGGAAAACCGTGATGAAAGAATGTAAACACACGTGCTCTTGAAGGTAAATAGAAATAACAGATTCTTAAAGAACAAATTTTATACAACAAGTTTCGGTTAGTGTATTGAAAGGTATATACTATGAAATTTAGAGCGAGGGGCTTGCCCCGAGCTCTTAATTTCATAGTATATACCTTTCCATACACTATCCAATTTAGCACATATTTACAACTTGAGTAATCCTGTAATTAGTCTATTGATATGCTTTGGCTGACTAGGTGTAGCTCATTTACGTAGTTTTGTAAATCTACTCGCTATAGTATCATTGTAAAATATGTGATTTCAAAAGGCCCTGTACTCCAGAATGAAAAGATGGTAGCTGCTGGTGTAAGTATGTTTATTGATATAAAGCGGTGTTTTACGACACATGTACTTCTTTACATGGTAAGATGACAAAATAAATTGACCAAAAGCAGGCAGTAATTAAATTTTAGTGGAAGCTTTGCATTCTTAAAAACATTTTTCTATTTCACATAAAAACTAAAACTATAATGAATTTTACACATATAGATAGTTTGCAGTGGCGGATCAAACAAGGTGGAAAAGGGGGGTGGTGGTGGAAAACGCCTTTTTCATGATGATCAATGGGTTGAAACCCCTTTCAAAAATAGCTGGATCTGCCCCTTAGGTAGTCTAGTGGATAGTTTACATGCATGAAATATTTGTCACTTGACATTAAGCAACCAATAATTAATCAATATATGACGAAATAGATCAAACTGCTTTAATTTCCCTTCACAAGGTTTCATGGTTCACTCTTTTTTGTGTACAAAGTAATTGCATGGAAAATAAATGATTACAATTTTTAGATGGCGTTGTACTCTAATCAAGGTTTAAAGAACCATATTTGTTACTTTTTATTTAAATGAAAGAAACTTTTAATCGTCAAAAACATTTTAAGATTCAAAGATTAATAAGTGGGATGTTTAAAAATCAATTTGAAAACTAATTACAAACTATTTAGTTTAATTTAGAACACAGCATTTATTTCAAAATAGCCAGTAGCAATGTTTGTTTTGATATCTTGATTACGATACAATGAAGTCTAACACTTGTGGTCATTCATGCGTAGTTACTTAGTACACGGAAAAAGTATGTACTATGAAAATTAGAAGGCAAATTCAAGCAATTTGATTGGACGAGAAGTTGTAAGTATGTGCTAATAAGAACATACAGCCCCCTTCTCGTCCAATAGAAAATCATTTTTTTTCCTAATTTTCATAGTACATGGCTTTCCATGAATGACTTTTCATTGTAGATTAATTATGAAAGCGAACTCTT